AAAAAAAAAAAAAAACAAAAAAAAAGACTAAAATGCCACAATCTACCATTGGCCTTGCTAATCCCAGGTCCACATCTAATCATCAAAGGTGTCTACTCATCTCCTCAGTGAAAATGAAACATACCACTATCACCTGAATACCCTATTTTCAAAAGTTTATGGCACCAAGTAAGTTATGAGAAACTATGACACTTGAAACAAGCTGAAATGTGCAAATGAGGCATGCTAGTCATTCACTTAACTCCAAAAAAAAAAATGGAAAAAACATCATTTCTCATTTGTGACAATTCTCCAAATTACTCCTGTATTTCACTTTAAAAAAAAAAAATAGCCAGAGAAACAACAAAAAGTAAAATAAGTAGGATCTTCCATTGTCCACTTCAGGGTATTGCCACTACCATATACTCTTACCATATATTTTCCTACCAGTACAAACTACAAATAACTTGGGTAACTTCTATGTGTACTTACTCTCTCCATCTACTACTAATTTCCTCTGAAAAAATATATTTAGGGCCGGGCGCAGTGGCTCATGCCTGCAATCCCAGCACTATGGGAGGGTGAGGCAGGTGGATCACAAGGTCAAGAGATTGAGACCATCCTGGCCAACATGGTGAAATCCCATCTCTACTAAAAATACAAAAATTAGCTGAGCATGGTGGCACGTGCCTGTAGTCCCAGGTACTCCGGAGGCTGAGGCAGGAGAATCGCTTGAACCCAGAGGGCAGAGGTTACAGTGAGCCGAGATAGCGCCACTGCACTCCAGCCTGGCAGCAGAGCAAGACTCCGTCTCAAAAAACAAGATATATTTAGCTAACAAATAATGTGCATTTACAATAAAACATTTCTCTGAAGCAATTAATTTTCTTGGATCATTAAAGAAATGGTATTGACACGTGATCACTAGGGGATCAATGCTCCTCCCCAACAGTATTTAAATGACTGGTATAGGCTCCAGGACTTACCAGACACCTGTTGTGTGAGCGAAGGTTTCTGAGTATGATCTATATGCCATCCAACTAATATATCAACTGTATCCTTGATGGAAACAAAGAGAGAGGGGGCCAATCATTTTAAGATATTACTGCCATTCACCTGTGGACCATTTCACAGTAAAAGATCTTAAAAGAAGCATCTCTGTTCTACTTACTTGACATTCTAGAAACTTGGAAAGGGGAGGGGGGCAGGAAAATAAAAGAAGTACATTTCTGACAACAATGAAATAGTTTATTTTCGTTAAATATTTTAAGTATAAACATCAGAAAGAAAAATGCAGATGACATTTTTTAATAAAAATGCAGCATTCAACCCTGGACCCTCAAATATCACTGATTATATTCAAAGGAATAGAGGCACTGTTTTCCAACTGATTCCCCAGTTTCTCACACACACAATCATCCCCCTTACCCCATGATCTGAACAAGGGAGTGAGGAACTCACCCTAAAATTAGTGCTGAAAATATGAGGGTAACATCGAGCCACCAAAAGAATGCACTTAACACATTTGCAAAGCAATTCTGGTGTATCCACATTTTCAAGAATAGACTGCAGGCTGGTCATTACAAGCTTAAAAATAAAAGTTACAAACTGTGAATATTCTACAAAATAGAGAGAAAACAAGTAAATTAGATTCATTTTTATGAAGTGACTGTGAACAACTGAGTATATGACCAAGAAAAATAGATTCTGATTAGTTTTAGTTCAAAAAAAATTGACTTGCAATCGCAGCAACTTGGGAGGCTGAAGCATGAGAATCGCTTGAACCCAGGAGGCGGAGGTTGCAGTAAGCTGAGATCGTGCCACTGCACTCCAGCCTGGACAACAGAGCGAGACTCCATCTCAAAAATAAATAAATAAATACATATAAAAAATAAATTGAAAATATTTCACTCCACTAAGATGTTAGGCTAAAATGAAATTCTGTTTTCTCTTCTTTAATGTTTGTTAATATTAGTCCTTGAACATCAGTTAATATTAGTCCTTAATAATGTCTGTTTACATTATGTCAAACGCTCTCTTTAAGACTCTACCTGTGATTAAATTTCAAGTAAAAAAGTAAAATGGACTTGGGAAACTTTTCTATAAAATGCAACAACTACTTTCCAAACTAAAACATAAAGCAAATTTTATATAATTTATACTTTAGTATATTAGCACTTGCTTCATATTAGAATTAAAGAAGTATGGCACCACACATGAATAACATGCAGGCTCATGTTACCATTATACATAAATTTTTAAAATACATATATGGCAAAAATAAAATAAAATAATAAATAATTATATGGCATTCCATTGACAGAATATTGTGCAACTGTTAAAAAACACTTTTCCCTAAAAAGGAAAAGCTCTGCTTTACATAGCAATCTTATAAAAGAAATGCTAGAATCAGAAAGCCATCATTTTAGGCTGGGTGCAGTGGCTCATGCCTGTAATCCCAGCACTTTGTGAGGCTGAGGCGGATGGATCATTTGAGGTCAGGGGTTTGAGACTATCCTGGCCAACATGGTGAAACCCTGCCGCTAGTAAAAATACAAAAATTAGCCAGCCGTGGTGGTGGGCACCTGTAATCCCAGCTACACAGGAGGCTGAGGCAGGAGAATCGCTTGAATTGGGAAGGCAGAGGTTGCAGTGAGCCAAGATCACGTCATTGCCCTCCAGCCTGGGTGACAGAGCGAGACTCCATATCAAAAAAAATAAAATAAAAAATAAAAAGAATGATTTTTTAAATATATTCAGATACACAAATGTGAAATAAAACTAATGAGAGCTAGTATTCATTTACACATAATTGTCTTATGCTATTTGGAATAAGAATTTGGGGCACATTATCAAACCAAAAGGCTCAGAAAGGAATTGTGATATTTAGTTCGTCTCTCTCAACAAATGTGAAGCATTCTTCTATCCAGCATTCCTAGTAGAGTTCCTATTTCCAAATTTGCAAATCATTCTCGTCCTGGACAACCTCAAAAAACATTTCTAAAAACAAAACAGAAAAAAATCTCTAACATTTCAAATCTAACTTCAAGGTATATCCTTTACTCAAAATGAGAAAGAGGAATTTCTAAGACATATTTCCTATCAGTAGGTAATCCCAATTCTATGTTTCCCTTCTTCAAGCTCCCCTCCAAGGACATGTATTATGGGACAATTTTCTTCCCAAGCACATTATGCATTTTTCGCCCTTCATTCTTACCTGCATTACAGATGAAAAGGCTTTCTTTTCTCCTACAGTCTCTAGTGCTTTGTAGGTGGCACATAAGTAGAGGAGTTTAACTTCATCTTTTGCAGATGAGCTAAATTTGCTAAAAATCCACTTGAAGATCTTCTCAGCCTCATAGCTCAGAGAAGCACAAAGAAGGCCAAGACAGCAAGCTCCCTCCTGTCTCAACTCCTGAAGCAATTTGCTACTGTTTATTTTAATGCAAACAAAAAACAAACACAAAAGACTTAAGTTTTCTATGAGGACATGAGTGACACATGTTATAAAGAATGTCTTAGGGCCAGGCGTGGTGGTGGCTCATGCCTGTAACCTACCACTTTAGGAGGCCGAGGTGGGTGGATCACCTGAGGCCAGGAGTTCAAGACCAGCCTGGCTATCATGGTGAAACCCCATCTTTAAAATAAATAAATAGATAAAGTCTTAAATGGTTTTTAAAATTTCTATTCAAACTATGTAAGAGGTGGAAATTTTCTCCACTCTAAATATTATGTTCTGTCTAGCCTGCATTGCCAAAAAGTATCTGTCTGACATTAGACTTTCTTTTTACAAAATCAATTATTTACAGTGAGGGAAGGCCCCCAAATGCTAAATTCCATCACAAACTATATTAACTCTCAGAAAAGGGCAGCAACATATAATTGGATAAAACACACTACATATAACTACATTCTATATAATATTTAATATGTAATGACTATAAAATAAAAAATGGTACTAGGCAAATACAGACACTTAAAAGGATAACAGGAATGATTTACATATAACTTTAATAAGTAACTCTATAAAATAAAATCATCAAAAAGCACTGAGGTTTATGACAAGCTGAAATGCTTGCCAATACTGCAATTCTTTGGGAATCACCTTAACAAAAAATGACTGGAGACTCCAGTAACCAGGGAATAGATGGTTTGGATCCACTCTTACACAAAGAAGGATGCTCCTTTTCACCTCTATTCTCTAAGCAATTTCAAATTCTCTGGTTTACAAAAACTAATTGTATTCGTTCACGCCTGCATCAAGAATTTATGCCATTCCACAAGTAAGTGCTCAATTACCCGTGAGACTAGCAAATTAATCATATAAAGTATTCCTGCCGGGCATGGTGGCTCACCCTTGTAATCTCAGCATTTTGGGATGCAGAGGCGAGTGGATCAACTCAGGTCAGGAGTTTGAGACCGGCCTGGCCAACATGGTGAAACCCTATAAAAAATTAGCCAGGAGTGGTGGCGTGCACCTGTAGTCCCAGCTACTCGGGAGGCTGAGGCAGGAGAATTGCCTGAACCCAGAAGGCAGAGGTTGTGGTAAGCTGAGATCGCACCACTGTACTCCAGCCTGGTCAACAGAGTCAGACTCCAACTCGAAAAATACATACACACATACTTACATACATACATATATACATACACACACACATACACACACAAAGTATTCCTTTTCAAATGCATTCCATTTGTATCCAATGGTAATTAACATATATATAATACAGACAAAAATGACAAGAGGACCTACTGAAATCAATAGATGTCCATAAATAAAGCCAATGAGTTTGTCTTCTTGTGTATTTTTAAGTAATTTCTAAAAATATAGTCATTTAAACTGAACCATTATTAGTTACTTACCTTTCATTAAGCACATCATGTATAGCAGCCAAGATATTATCCAATTGTTTAACTAGTACCTTTAAAAGAAAACACATTTATTTATAAACACTTCAAATTCCTATACTTTTAAGAATAGCATTATGTACTTTTTAACTTGTCGTCTTTCCAAATTTTAATTCAACAGCACTTGAGTTTCCTTATTATTCCCAGACCCCATGAGCATATATCAGGAATGCCATGTTTCCTTTCCGACTGTGAAAGAAATTCACCCATTGGAAACACTGAGTTATGATCATCAACAAAAAAATAAACTCAAAACCCTTGTTTTACTTACTCTGAAATACATTTGAAAAACTGATCGATGATGGAGGGATACATGGAGAGATATGTGACAAAGCAGTATTTAGGGTAAATGTTAATGACAAAAATTAGATGATGGGTATAACAGATTCAATGTCAAACTCTTTCAACTTGCTATATATTTGAAACTTCTCATAATAAAATTTGGAAGAAGGAGAAACTTGCTTTGATCCAAATGTCATCTGCCTCACTAGACCATTTTCATTAATTTTCTCCTACTCCATATCAAGTGCATTTTTTTTTTTTTTTTTTTTTTTTTTTTTTTTTTTT